GACCGGATCCGCTGGCGTTGTACTACCTCTGCCGGCGGGCCCGAGATCAGGTGGGGGATGGGGGTACATCTGTGCGGGGCGCGTATGTGACCAGGTCTGGCAGAGTGTCGCTCCCCCCAGATCGTTTTCAATCCTAGGCCTCGGATGCTCTCGATGTGCATCACCAGTGTCTGAATCAGTTTGTATTTCTGGTCGCGTTCCGGTCGCGTAGTGTGTCGCGTTTCTTTGTTACTTGACCAAGTGGAAACGTTTCTTTTATGGGGGGAGGAGTGTTGGGATATTGTGACCGCGCACCGGCCGTGTGGGGCCGTGGAACAGGGCGGGGTCGGCGGCCCGGCCGTCCGGCCGGCGAGCCGCCTGACCGCCGCGCGGTCATCGCGCATGCGCTCTGTGCCGTGGTTATATAAGGGCGCGACCGTGACCAGACTGGGTCTGTCGGCGGGTCGCCGTGTCCGTGCTTGGTATTCGGTCGCTGGAAGCACAATACACCGTGTCGTGGTATATGCAGCTTTACTTGGCCCTAACAGTAGAATCGTGACCACGGCCGGCCGGCCGGCCGGCCGCTCATACTCAGAAATTTCCGTTAATCTAAGGAAAGACTACGCTCGCTTCGCTCGCTCCGTAATAATCGTATTACACCGCGCTTGCTCAATGCTCAGTTCGTATTGTAAAAGCACTGCGGCACTGCATAGATGCAGGCGCTCTGCTACTGCCATCTATGGGTGAAAGATGAAGATAATGAAGATAATGTTTGCGCCTGTAGTGATACTGTACCGCAATAACCATTATCTTCATCTTTCACCCATAGATGGCAGTAGCAGAGCGCCTGCATCTATGCTGTGCCGCAGTGCTTTTACAATACCAGTATAACGCCTTTTGGGGCGACTAACGGAGCGAGCGAGAGGGTGGGCCTTGCACGTGCGAAATTGCGAGGGGGTACCTCCAACTGACTTGTGCACGGCACCCTACTAACTGGTCTCTAGCGACGTGCCAAATTTGGGCACAATCGGCCCAGCCGTTCTCGAGATCTGGAAGCGGCACCCTGCACGTGCGCACGTGCAAAATGGGTCCCAACTGACTTGTGCACGGCACCCTACTAACCGGTCCCTAACTGTGTACCAAATTTCGGTCGAGCCGTTCTCGAGATCTGGAAACGACCCCTGCACGTGCGCACGCGCAGCAGCACCCCAACTCTGGCACATGAATATGCAGTGCCAAGTGGGTGCCTACCTACATGCCAACTTTCAGCGCAATCGGCCAAGTAGTTACCGAGATATTGCAACAATTACAAAACGGACACCTCTTCTTTTTGCACGTGGCACGTGCATAAGGGGTCACCCACATGCATCAGGAATAGTCCAATACTTGGTAGAAGGAATGAAGCTACCCTACAAAAATTACCGCGTGTAAATCGGTCAAGTGGTTGCTGAGATATAAGCCTCGCAAAAGCGTGACCACGGCCGGCCGGCCGGCCGCTCATACTCAGAAATTTCCGTTAATCTAAGGAAAGACTACGCTCGCTTCGCTCGCTCCGTAACAAACTGAGCATTGAGCAAGCGCGGTGTAATACGAATAGGGGAGAGTGGGGAAAGATGCCCAGGGTTTTGCTATGTCATATATTATTCGAAAATGACGATGGGAAAGCAAAAACTTGGAGTTTCAACGGAAGCCGACATCATTTTTCTCCAAAAATATCACACTTTCGTGCGTGAAATATCATAACTTTTTTTGCTATTAAGCATTTTCCTGAAGAGGTGAAAGGGGACATCTTACCCCACAGGGTGGGAAAGACGCCCCCTGACGTTGGGAAAGATGCCTCCTGCACTATAAGTGACATAAATGGGCACGTGAATCACCTGAACGAATCAGTAGTCCCTTCGAGCCTGCAGTAGACACCAAACGTCATCATAAGGGCCCTCAAAAGTAGTCGTAAGGGCTTCAGAGGTCATCGTTAGGGCCATCATAGTCCAGCGCGGCCAAACAAGCCTCCGTGGTGGCGTTCGGAGACCACTGTGGGGCTCTTATAGGTCTTCATGATGCTTGAGGGCCCTCGAGCCCATCGTGGGGACCTCCGATGCCAGCGCGGCCCGTGGGGCCAACGTGGGAGCCCTCAAAGGATGTCGTGAGGGGCCCTGGAGCCAATAATGGGGCCCACAGAGGCCGTCGTGAGGGCTCTCAGAGTCAGATGCCGCCCAAAAAGTCGCTATGTGGGCCGAGAGACCGGCATGGGGAGCACCCGACCGTACTGGACTCTCAATAGTCCCAGATCGGCTTTTGTCTACATCACAAGTATGTAATAAATGATTTGACGGGCTGTTTGAAGGATAGCCTCAAGCCCAACTGAGCTTCGCAATTTTTTGTGCAGTTAACAAGGCAGGCTTCCGCTTTGCGCTAAGAACATTCATTTCCAGGTCCGATTCTTTGTTTCGCCGCTAGAGGGGGCGGGGCGTCTTTCCCACCCTGGGCATCTTACCCCACTCTCCCCTATGTGGTGGCCTAGACCAGTGACCGCGGCCAAGAAGAAATGGCTCTAACCAGGGTATATTGAATTAGGGCTCTAACTTGACTGAGTAGCGGTAAATCAGCATCTGACTTAAGTTATTATTACGAGACCACGTTTGGCCGGAATCGTGATTCGGCGTACGTCGGCGCGCACTAGCCACGCGTTTGCTGTCTTTTCGTGGTTTCAAGCGTTCAAACATGTGATATGATGTTGGTCACATGCAATATGGTGGGTGTCAAGGTCACGTGAAAATTAGGTCAAGGTCACTGACCTTTAATGACCTTGATTCACTTTTTCGAGTTTTACATGCTTCTAGAACAGTTTTTGGAGCTGATTTCGAATTAAGCATTCAGTTTAACATTTAAGAAATTATAGTTTTAGTGCCTTCGTAACATGTTACGACGCCATCAGTGGTGGTTGACACCTACTATGGATAAGCTACTTTACTATGGATAATTGATACTTTACTATGGATAAGATTCTTTACGTATACCTATATGGTGCTCTTAGTAATCGCCGCCAACGTTTTAGACCGATTGTTCAGTCTGTGTAGCTATGACGGGCATTATAACTTTTCCTAAGGTAAGGCCACTTGGACGTAACCTGGTGACCTAACCTTGAGAGTTGAGTGACCTGGGTCTGAAAGTTATGCAGCATGTGTGAAAAAGATTCATGAAAGGGTGTGCTAAAAACGGCGGCGCTCCACAACGCCGTTTTCGAGGTATTTACATAAACCTACATGGGGTGTCCAAGCATCCCACCGCCCGGCGCGGATAATTTTTTGCACGTGCAGAGCGCACCTTTGGGGTCCACCAGGAGATAGATATGCTCAATAACTATGCTGGAATGCATTCTGGGTGGCCTGTGTAAATTTGGCACTTTGAGCTTGCTAGCGCTACCCGCTCTGCCCGTATATGTGACAGTGTGACACAGAGTGCAACATCAAAAGGTTTGCACGTGCACAGCACGTGCACCGTGTACCTCAGCACATATATTTGCACAGCGACTTAAAGCGCTCGTCCAGGAGTGTCAGTGTGCCAAATTTGGTGTGCCTAGGTCAAGGTTTTCCGGAATCGGAGGATGCATCCTCAAAACATGTTTTTCGCCCCTGGCGCGTGCATTCCGCACCCCCTGCTGCCGAGCATACCATATGTTAATGGTCAAACACCGGGACATGTGACCTGTGAATTTGGCACCTGTGCCGCCCACCGTTTAATTTGGAGCGTTGCTTAAAGGTTTTTGCCCTTCCCGACTTTGTCGGCACGTGGCACGCGCCACGTGACACCGAATGACCTGTGACATGCATCATCACCTGCCTCAAAGCATTACCCATCGAACGGTACCACCAGCATCTCGATCCGATCATCCGTTTAGACGCAATTCCAATTGTAATGGTTCGATGACCTTTCAGAGCACGGGTTTTTGGCAACGTAAAATGGCGCCTTGTCGGCTTCACTATCTTCCATAGGAGGTCCATTGGGATCGTCAGTCCAGTTTATTTATACGTCCGTGAGTTTTATTCACCTCGGTTTTTGCTACGGACCTCGTGCCTACCGGCACTCGGTCCTCCGCACAAAAACCTCGGTGAATAAAACGCATTTTCCCAGCCCCGGTCGGGAATATATAATCCTTTCATACATCTTTTCTAATTCTATCCATCGCATGTTCTCGGAACTGTGACCAAAACAAATGATAACGTTACTTTTGGGACGCCCTGTATGCTGTATGGGCGGAGGTCAGCCCGCCCCCCCCCCCGTGAATCTTTCTGCGTGGTCATTGCGATCTTGGCCAATGGCCACCCACCACTGACCACAGTCTGGGCACACCCATCACGGGCCACAGTCTGGGCACACCCACCACGGGCCACAGTCTGGGCACACCCACCACGGGCCACAATCTGGGCAGTGGGCACACCCACCACGGGCCACAGTCTGGGCACACCCACCACGGGCCACAGTCTGGGCACACCCACCACGGGCCACAGTCTGGGCACACCCACCACGGGCCACAGTATGGACACACCCACCACGGGCCACAGTCTGGGCACACCCACCACGGGCCACAGTCTGGGCACACCCACCACGGGCCACAGTCTGGGCACACCCACCACGGGCCACAGTCTGGGCACACCCACCACGGGCCACAGTCTGGGCACACCCACCACGGGCCACAGTCTGGGCACACCCACCACGGGCCACAGTCTGGGCACACCCACCACGGGCCACAGTCTGGGCACACCCACCACGGGCCACAGTCTGGGCACACCCACCACGGGCCACAGTCTGGGCACACCCACCACGGGCCACAGTCTGGGCAGTCACCACGGGCCACAGTCTGGGCAGTGGGCACACCCACCACGGGCCACAGTCTGGGCACACCCACCACGGGCCACAGTCTGGGCACACCCACCACGGGCCACAGTCTGGGCAGTGGGCACACCCACCACGGGCCACAGTCTGGGTACACCCACCACGGGCCGCAGTCTGGGCACACTCACCACGGGCCTAAACATCTTCTTGTTGTCGAAGTAGAAGAAGAGCAGCGAGTAGCCGGCCACGACGGCCAGGAAGGCGGCCCACATCTGCGGGATGGAGATGCGCAGCCGCCGGTCCGCGTTGTAGCGGTCCTCTCCGAACATGTCCATCTCGTGGTGAATCTGCGCCCGGGGCGGACACGTCGGCTCAGCGGTCGCACAGCACGCAGCTCAGTGACTACAGTTTGCTTAGCTTACCGTAAAACGCCCAAACTTTAGCCGCCGTGCTAATTGCAGCCATAACTGGAAAAGCAATTTAAAGATGCGTTGTATAGGGTGTGTCATATCAATACTTTTTCTCTCAGATCAAGCGTTCCCTATCATTTTCCTGTTCCCTGTGCCTAATGAAGCTCTGTGCTACCTTTGTCTTTTTTTTTCTCTGCAAGAAAAATCGCGCGGCGCTGGCCGATTTAAATTTCGGATTTTCAGCGGCGCCCGGCGTTGCAGTCGCCATTTTTCAAACAATGCGCGCGGTGACACTGACACCACCCGCGGGAGAAATCGTCGGCTTGTTGTGACAAACGCTGTTCGGCGACGGAAATTCGATCGTGGGATCTTGTTTGTACGGATCCTGAACCCTACCGACGGGGATTTATGAGTTGAGCGGTTCACAATCTCTCATTGAATCATTGCCCGTGCTGCCATTACATAGAGATCAGCTTTGTTGCAGAAGAGCCACAAGAGTGCAAGAGGACAAATGCGAGGACGCTAGCCAGATCGTATGTTTTAAAAAGTTATGCAACACCAGTGACAGTCCAAAACTCATATAACGCATGACAGTTACCTACTAGAACGATTGATTGATAAACCTTTCGTCTAATCATGCTTTAGCGGCCTGTATCGAAAACATAAGAAATTCAGTCGCACGGATGGGGGTTAAAAACTTCTTATGAAACTGAATGAGACAAGTAAGAGAACGGTGCTTAATCAGAATAACTGTAGCGGTAACGACGGATGAACAACACCGAGGTGTCAGGTACGGAACTCTAGGCATGAGCAAACAAAAATACGTGAGGTGAATGAAAAGTTTTGAGCCATACACAGTTACAGGAGACGCAGGCTAATGAAAATTTGGTCACATATATTGCCACTCTTCTTATGAGTGTACACCAAGTTTTCAAGTCGTAGTCCTCTTTGTTTCGTTTTTTGAGCCCGTTTAAGTAAAGAAGATTCCGCGTTCGGTGAAAAGGGAGAAAATCGAGAACTGAAGGTTTTATAAAGTACTAGCGCACTGCGTTCCCTACGTTACACCCTCACGAAAATGCATTATGCGGGATTGGCAAGTTCGAATGATGGTAATTTAGAGTTGATGTGACATCTAGAAGTCGGGATATACGCGCCAAGTTGATTGAAAGGGTCAAACTGTATTTGTATACAAAAGTGAAACTCTTCCTCTATCCAACTGCAACTCTACCCAACCCCAGGGGCGGATCCAGAAAATCTCCAAGGGAGGGGCCATTAGAAACCAGGAGGCCCCCCATAATCCCACCTGTTGGAGGCCCCATCTTCCCACTTGTTGGCCCCCCCCAAAAAAACTGCGTCTATTGAGCTTATCTAGCTGTTCAGGCAACATCTCAACATCTGTGCAGGCTTGGAGGCCCTCTGTGCAGGTTAGGAGGCACTGTAAAAGTGGTCATCTCTGTGAGTATAAGAGACCTCCAAGTTATGAAAAGCTTTACCAATCTTCTAACAAAGAAGTCTTCTCAGCTAGTCTTCTAAGAAATAACTAAGTGGGTAGGTTAAAAAAAACTCATCGGATTTCGGCCACTTTATTTTCAGGAGGCCCCCTTTTCAGCTTTTTAACTTTTTAACTTTTAATTTATTTTTGAAAAAAATCGGCCAAGGGGGGGGGGGGCATGGCCCCCATGGCCCCCCTTGTATCCGCGCCTGCCCAACCCTACACTACCCCTACCCTACCCCTATCCCTACTCCTACTTCTACCCCTACCCTACTCCTACTTCTACCCCTACCCTACTCCTGCTCTACCCTACTCCTACTCTACCCTAAACCAACACAACCCTAACCTACCCCTACCCTACCCTACTTCCACAGTACCATTACCCTACTCCTACACTACCTCTAACCCTACCCATACACTACCCTACTCCTACACAAATTCAATGCATACCGTACAAGCCGTAATCGCCACGCCATACGTGGAAGGCTTTTGGTGTCAATACATACATACATACATACATACATACATACACTACCCCTACTCCTGCACTGCACTGCACTGCACTGCACTGCATTGCACTACACGACACTACACTACACTACACTACACTACACTACACTACACTACCCTACCCTACCCTACCCTACCCTACCCTACCCTACCCTACCCTACCCTACCCTACCCTACCCTACCCTACCCTACCCTACCCTACCCTACCCTACCCTACCGACAGTCCAAGTTTCAGCTCAATTGGCCCAGTATCATGCATCATAATATGCACTCAGATCGGTATGAGTATATCGCCACTCATCCCACAGTCTCTACTACCATGAACATTATTTTCATTTCTTCATATGCTTTGATGATGTCATGAATGTTACTGCTGAGCTTCATCTTAAATACACCATACATATTGTTAAATCAACTAACAAGCGGTATTAATCGAATTCGCAATCATGAAGAGAAACGCGCATAAGACCTGCAAAACTACGTGACAGTGAAGCCGAATGCTTCTTTAACGAATCAAGAAACCAGGGGGGCGACACGGCTATTCACGTAATGTATTCAGTTCTGGGCCTCGCGGGGCCTCGCGATGACGCGGCTGGAGGCAACTACTCAGCGCGCTAGGATACTTCTGGCGGGGCCGGGCGCTGAACGGTATGCAATGAATGGGTTATGGGCGGGCAATTGAATTTGAATAGACATCAGCAATCGGGTGGGGATGGAGAACGTTTCTAAGCGAGCTTGGGATCAGTGGCGGATCCAGGGGGGGGGCTGCGGGGGCTGGCAGCCCCCACCCAAGGAAAACTGGCGCCACTGCGCCGAAGGCGCAGTGGCGCCAATTTTCAATTCGCAACTCATCGGAGTGCCGCATACTAGGACTAGGATGCAAAAATCAGTCGAATAACGTCGTTTCAGTACGCTCCGCACCGATATTTCCAATCGTGTGGTGTCACTGTACATACTGATCCTGGGCGCCTCTTGTCAGGGCCACTGGGCGCCAATATTGCAGCGCCAATACGATGCGACTATGGCGCCCATCCGGGGCGTGGCGCCCAATTATGACCTGCAGCCCCTCCCCAGTGAAAATCCTGGATCCGCCACTGCTTGGGATGGGGGAAAGCCGAAAATGTCACGATCGGCTCAGAGCTCCGACAGGGCCGGCATAGGCGGCGGAACGGGGAGGGCACCGGGGCACCGTGCCCCCTTTAATTTTGACATTTTAACATTAACCCTATGAGCGTTGCATGGAAAGGATGGGACCAAAAGTCGGCAGTGCCCCCCCCCCCCCCACCTAATCGAAGGTGCTCCGCCGCTACTGAGGGCCGGGTGACGTACCATGTGTAGTACCGTAAAGTGGGGCTATTTGAAACGGATTTTACAGTTTTTGGCCTCTCCCTTTAAGACTGTTCATATTTCTTATAGCATGTAAATTGCAAAAATGTAGTTCTCCGTAAGCTCTTTCATATTGGTGCATTTTGGTTCAGCTAGTAATAATGATTAAGGATATTTTTTTAGTTAAAGCCTGTCTCAAATAGCCCCATAGGGTGGGGCTATTTGAGACAGTTTTAGTTACGAAGAAATTGAAGAAAATCGGTCACGCTAGAGATAATGTTTTAAATGCCATGCGATTGGAAATTAAATTTTGATCATTCTGGCAAAAATTGTTTTTGCAAAGACAGTTATATTTCCTTTATATTCAATCTTTTCCTTTTTCGTAGGATGCTTCATTTCGGTAGGTCATGGATGAGATAATAATGGATTGGTGTCTTCGCAGTTTTTGGCGACATTGAGCTCAGGCCTGCCATCTAGCGGGAGAATTATCGTAAGTTAGGAGCAAGCCGAGTGAACGCCGCTGATTAGCATTGTGACACACGGGAGTGTGGTGTAGTAGCGGGCTTGTTGTGCAATTTTTCAAAAGGTTATGTCTTTATATGTCAGTAAAAGCGAAGAAATTAATAGATTTATGTGCAGGGTCAGTAATAAGATAAGCAGTTCCATGTTATTTCCTCATTAAATCGTGAAACAGGGAGTTATTGGAGACTTCGACAGCACGTGTCGTTTTCGCCATTTTTCACATGAGTCTTTACTTGGCCTAAATCAAACAAATTGTCCGATCAAAGAACAAAACGAACGTTAAGTACTATCTATAAGTCTAAGTTGAACGGAATTGCTAACGTCATTGCCGCTCAATAGTGTCATTCAATACGCTCTATGAAAAGGACCCAACCAGTGCTGCGTAGACGATGAAATTTCAGTGACTTTGGCTCCAACTCCGATTCCGGTATCCAAATATCGACTCCGACTCCTCCGGGTAGAACTGTCGATTCACACGGACTCCGACTCTGACTCCGACTCTGCAGCCCTGGTAAGTCTGTGGAATCGATGACTTTTCGGTGACGTTCGACTCATACTCCGACTACAGCTTTTAAAAATCAACCGACTCCGAGTCGGAACTGAACCGCTGGCTCTAACTACAACTTCGCAGCCCTGGCCTAAGATAGCCGCCTAAAACAACTTTGATGTGTGATCTTCTTCGTACATTGTTAATGTTATTCTAAACAAGGGGTGGAGAAGGGAGACGAAGCCTTCACAAACAAGGATCTCCTATACTGCGGATCAATCAGCTGCTGGAACAGAAAGGCATAAACACCACGCATCTCATTTCATCGTTTTCCTAACGACTCTGCACCAATGTAAGCACTGATCAATGCAATGCGAGCATCGATGTGACATTTGTGTACCAAGTTTGAGTGTTATCCGCCCAGCCGCTCTTGAGATATGGAAGCGGCACCCCGCACGTGCGCACGTGCAGTAGCACCCTCATGTGACACATGGAAATGCATTGGCCACTGGGTGCCTAACTATTGACGAAGTTTTACTGTAATGGGCCCAGCCATTGCGGAGTTACTTTATGTGGAACAATTTCGACACCCCTAAGTTG